GCTGCTGCATCCCAATCCTGTAACTTCGCACTCAGGTTTTTCCACTCTAACCAGAAAGATGTAAGTAACTTTCTTTTCTTTCTCCTTTTGAAAATATAGTCTTGCCTGCCAAGGGCACACCAGTCAGAATGTAGATTACCTCATGTCATAGTGCACAGATGCGGTTCACTGTATGTAGTATAACTACAAGTGCATGTAGTTATAGCTGTTGGATAGCGGTGCAGTGTTATTTGTTGTGTTACAATGAATGTGCTTAGTGTTGAATCGGCAAATGTTGTGTATCGTTTCACAACCATAAGAAAAAAGTTGTACTGTGAGAGAGCCTGGGTGGTGGCAAGGTGAATAGACAGTTTTGGAGCGTTGCATCTAAAACTGGGTATTAACAGAATAGCAAGCATGATACCTCTTGGAGTTGCCTTCCAAAGAGTGTAAGGGATAGCCCATGAAAGTTCATCCTCGGAATGCCATGTAAGACGCCGCGGTAGCAGCTGCCCTCGTTGCTCTGATTTATTTCTGAAATTTGTAGCCACTCTTTGCCAGCAGTGAGTGCACTTATATTTTCTTACTATCAGAAAATTGAACAATTGAAAAGGCATGTCAAGATATTCTGGTAATTTTAAACAGTCTATTTTTAAAAGTAAAATAAATAAAAGAGGGTTTCTGTGTGCCAAAATGAAAGGATGGGATTTACGCCATATTTTCCTTCTTCTTCTTCTTTTTTTTTTTTTCCTATTTTTCATTGTAAGCAGATTTGGACTCCGCTTGTTAGCCAAGCACAGGCTTTTGTGGTGTAGGCTGTTTGGTGTCTACCAACTATGTAAACCACCCAGTGGTCATGTTTGTTGAAGAGAAAGAATCACTCCAGGGTGGCCACTCGGCCAGTTATGTTTTCATCTACTTCTGAGACTCATCCCCTGGAATTTGGACCATGTCACCTATAGCTTTCCATTCTCCTGGTCTACCTACCAGCTTTTAAGGAACTGGGCAATGAAGTTAGTTTCTGAGATTCTTCTCGGCACTCGTGAGGATTAAAAAGTAAAACACACACACCACACACACACACACACACACACACACAAACCCCAAAAACTTTTGTAACTATAGCACATATGGCAATCTGTCTTCCAACTAATATTTTGTATAGAATATTAAATAGAGACAGGGCAGAAGCATTTCAAAACGGTGGATGTCATAGACTTACTGGTCTCTGCTCATGGTAACTAAGATCTGACAAGCCTCAGGGCATGGTCAGAGGGCCAGAGTGGCTCTTGTGCCTCCCAGAAATTGGCATTCACTGGAGAATTCCTTTTGTGTCCCTTCTTCTGGTCTGGGAGTAAGGGAAGTGGTTATTAGCTTCTGAGCACATGACTCAGAAAGTTCTGGCCTGTGTGGAGATCACAGGGGTGACGAAAGAGTCCCTAGCAGACATGGGCAGTTTGATTACTACCAGAAAGCTTTCACTGCGTGTTCTGGCATCGGTGCTTGTCCTCTTCCGTTCTCTTAAAGTAGGAGGATTTATTTTCATTAACTAAAAAGTCGATAAAGAAAAGTGCCCTCAAATCTTCTGCCTCTTGTTTCTGTTGTAAGACATGCTTTAAAGGAGCATTGCTTTACTGAAGACTCCTTTTTTAAAGTTTTGTTTCACTTAGCTTTGAGGTAGTGGGGGTTCAGTATGGGATTCATTCATGCCTGTTGACTGGTATCACTCCAGTTTTCGTTTATCCAGTGGTCTAGAAGAATGATATTGTTATGGAAGACTTGAATCCCCAGAAGGGATTTGAGGGGACATGTTGTCTTCAATGGCTTTCTTTATTGTGATGATGGATGTGTGTGGCAGGAGTGACTATTTTTTCCCTGAATGCTTGTATGTGATGTTGAACTTGATTACATGAAAGCATTTTATTGGTCTGGAACTAGGATTCTGCTTCAAATTATTTTTTATTACTACTAGCTAAGAAGCTAGAAAAAAACTCACTGTCATCGAATTCGGTCCGACTCATAGATGCCTTAGAGGAAAGAGCAGAACTGCCGTACAGAGTCTGCTAGACTGCAGATCTTTACGGGAGCAAACAGCCTCTGCTGTCTCCTGAGGAACAGCTGGTGGTTTTGAACGGTTTGACCCTGTGGTCCACAGCCCATCATGTCATCCTGTTAGGGTGGAATGTTGGGTGATCTTGGGAGCAAAGCAGTCTAACAAGGGAAAGATACCCTGTGGCCTTGGTACCACCGCAGGCAAGCGTGGACTGTGGTGTGGACTGTTTGCTGAAGGAACCGCGGCTAAGACCCATTATGAGTGTAGTGCGGTGCTGTACACTTTAAATTCTCTGCTCAACCATGGGAGAAATTACCTCTCTGAAAAGCCAGCACATTTTATTCTTGGTAGTTTGGGGACCCTCAGATGCTTTGCCATGGGGTGACCGACATATGTATTTCATTTCCAGTTTTTTCAAAGGACATTTTTAGCTCTTGCTCCAGGAGCGGGGGCGGGTCTGACACTCTCTTTTGTGAGACCTGGTGCTGTAAGATTGAAAGCTATGTCTGGAAGGTCTCACAGGGCTCCCCCTCTGGGTAGGCAGGCCGTTGTCTCCAGCCACTGTGAAAGAAGAATTAGAGCTAGATTTCCCTGACTCCAGACGTGTTAGGAGAGGGCTTTAAAACGTTCATGGAATGTTGAATTAAAACATAATGAGCCTTTCCCATAAACTTTGGGAAAGTTTCCCCCTTCTTTGAAAGCCCATTTTAGGTATCCATACCAATCATACTTCAGGGGTTTGATGTCCATGTGTTCTGCTAATTTTAGCAGTGACCAGGGTTCATTTCAAGGATCTCCATGGGACCTAAATCACCTCACTGGTGCATAAACGAATAGAAAATAGGTACAGAAAACATACTCTGAGAGTCACATGTCTTAAAGTTCTTGTGGCTTCCCAGTTTGACCTGCAGTTTCATTTGGGGCTGTCGCATTTTCAGAGTTCAGACTTGCACGGCCTTTGTCCAGTCAGCAGTGCACAAACGGCAGCATGGAAGGAGGGCTGCGCCATGAAGGCAAGCTGGAGAACGAAAGCTACCTTCTTTGTTTGTTAAAGGACTAGCGTTCCCTCTTTTTGTTGCCCCTTATTTTTCTCTTCCAAGCTATTGCCTTTTTTCCCCTAACATAGTTCCTGGGCCACTAAGAAATGGAAATTGCCTCTGTACTTGGGACAGCTTGGTTCTCTCCCTGAATGCTAGCATATTTGGGAGCTGTAATTTATAAATTTGATTGGGACCACAGAAGTCATTTATTCATCCTGATTAATTGCTGAATTGTATGTCCCCAGGCAGCTGGTTTTTCAAGCTGCAAGTTCCTATTGCCAGGACGGATGGCTAACCTGCCTAATTTTTCTAAGCCATGGGGCCCCAGGATAGACATCTGTATTTAAAGTATCCTGGCCTCCCCTCCACAAGGCGGACCACTGTCTTTTAGTCAAGCTAGGAGATACATGGGCTTTTTCAGATAGTCCTTCTTTAAACCTGCAGGATCACAAGTAATCTTTTTTAATTTTCTTGTGTCCGTCCGTCTTTAATTTCTCCAGATACTGCAGGCAAACAGCTCGCCGAGGTGTCCCATGGGGGTTTAAAAGCCGCATCGAATGCAGTTGAATTAGCGCCCGTGGCGCAATCCCGCGGCCTGAAATGAACCCTGCGAGGCTGTGTATCAGAGGGTATGTTGTTGACTACTAGCCTATTTTCCTACTGCGCAAATTATTCAGACATAATCGAGGTGGGGGCAGAACTGACTAACCACGGCTCTGTAAAAGGACTTGCTTTCTATGGAGGATCCTCATTTGGGGCAGGCATCAGCTTTGCGTTTTAACTCTTAACTGGCCCAAGGGTCGACTTCCTGTCTTCTGATCCCGGTTCTTCCTGGGGAGATTTTCGTCTGCTGTGCCAGAGTTCCCGTTGAGACTTCTTTTATCTTGTCTCTGTTCTGACCATGTCATCGTTGCTTTGTTCCGTAGTCTAAAACTGAGCACGTGTGGCATGTGCACTTACACTCGCATGTAGGAATTTCCAGCAGAGATCTTATGTAGATTGATTGGGCAAGAAACCTGGTTCTTGAAGTCTTTTTGTCCACAAAATGGGTTTTGTGGGTCTTTTGTTTGGTGTCTCCCCTCTGTCCTCTACCGTACTGCGCTTAACCCCGTGTTGATGAGACATACTCAGAAATAATGAAAACCACGGAGCCGCCGGTCATTTTCTGGCCGAGAGTGATTTCTATTGTGGGTGGTAGTGGGGTAAAGGTTACATTATCTTGGTTTTTGTTTTGTTTGTTTTTTAAATCATTTTATTGGGGCCTCGTACAGCTCTTATCACAATCCATACATATATCCATTGTGTCAAGCACATTTGTATATATGTTGCCATCATCATTCTCAAAGCATTTGCTTTCTACCTGAGCCCTTGGTATCAGCTCATTTTCCCCGCTCTCCCACCCAGATCTTGGTGATTTTAGAGCCCTTGGCTAGTCATAGTTTATCTTAGGTGCAGAAAAACGTGGAGTAACATCCCTTCCATCATGCTGGCACTAACTATATTTGAGCTGTTGTGGCATAAGACCCCCGTCTTGTGGAATTGAAAGATGACTGTCAAGAGAAGGTCTAGGCAACGCCTGAGTGAGCAATAGTCCTCATCAACAGACAAGGGCATCAGGCTGGGGTAGGAAGAAAGAAAGATGTACCATGTTAAAAGGCCGATTCCACGTGGTGACCTTGAATGATGAAGTTCAATATCTTTTACTTAAACTTCATAGTTGTTTTTGTTGGTCTTGTTGGTCTTGGCTCGCAAGGCTTGATTTCATTGCTGACTTGTGAAAAAATTCACACCAAGGTGATGTCTTTCCTTCCCAGACCTCAGAATATATTATTCAAGCTTACAAATATGGTGCATTTGAGAAGATCCCAGAGTTTATCGCTTTTAGGAACAGGCTGAATAATTCTCTTCACTTTGCACAAGTCCGAATTGAACGGATGCTATTAGACCTCCTCCTGGAAGCAAACATGTAAGTATTGCTACGAGCTGAAAAGGAAGGAGGGGCTAGAGCAGATGCTAGGCCATCCGTGGGCCATGAGTATCCTTAGCAAGATTGGGGAAGGGAGGTGACTTGGGATAAGAGCCTGGTATTTGAGGAATGACCCAGTGCTGCGAGGATAGTGTCAGGTTCTACACAGGAGCCACCTAGGCCATCATCCATGTTGAGTTCACAGGGTTGCCCATCCTGTGCAAGACCTGGGCTTCAGAAATTGATGCTGCTCCACTCTCTTCTGGTCAGGCTGCTGGAAGCCTGTGTAGCACTGTGTAGCCTGTCAGCATCACCTGTGATTGGTTCTAGCTCACCTCACATGCCATCTTAGCTATGATTAATAGCAAGCCTGCCCTTCTTCCCTTCCTTCCCTTTTTTGTATAACAGCTTGACTGCTATGTTTTACTATTCAGATAATTCAGAAATAAATTTTCCATATTACAGATCAACCAGCTTAGCAGAAAGTATAAAGGCAATGAATCTTAGGCC